CGCCGCCTCCTCCCCTGCCGGCCTCAGGCGCGGGCCCCCCGGTGCCCCATTGTTGTCCGCGCCGCCGCCATCTTGAAATTGTTTTTCCCCTCAAGAGCCGAGTTCAGGCGGCGGGGGCGGGGCTTCCTGGGTGGGGGGAGGTGTCGCGTCACGGCGGCGGATGGGCAGCGGGCGGGGCCAATGAGAGGGCGGCGGAGCGGAAAAAGGGGCGTCGCTTCCGCCAGGAGGGTCGCCGAAGACCGTTTAAAAGGCATTGGGGGGGGGAAGGAGCGAGGCGGACCGTGAGCGGCCAATAAGGAGGCCCGCATGGCGAGGCGAGAGTTGATTGACACCTAGGGTGTACGGGGAATGGGGAGCAGAACGACTCTGGTTGTAAACGAACTCTGTAACGAGTCCCTGGGGAGGACAAAAGTAAAAAACCGTAGAACAGAGGAAAGCAAAGCATTGATTCTTGCACTTAAAGTTTAGGGTTTGCTTTTATTAGAGCAAAATTTTGCAAAAACAAAAAAAACCCCACCCCAAATTTTAATTGCAAGGGTCAAGGCTTTTGCCCCCCCCCCCAAAAGAACAACAACACAATCCAGCCTTAATCCTTGCAATTAAAATGGGGGGAGGGGTTGCAAAATTTTGCTCTAATAAAAGCAAAGCCATGATCCTTGCAATTAAAGTTTTTTTGGGATTTATTTGCAAAGTGTTAGTCTAATAAAAGACGATCTCTCTGCTAGGGGTCCTGAAAGCATTCATCCTCCTCTTTCAGCTGGGGAAAAAAGTGAAGCAACCCACTGTTCTGCCCCAAGCCTAGGAAAGGGGAGTCCTAAACTAATGCTTGTTTTTAGCTTTAACTGGGAAGCGGCTCGTTTTACAGAGGCAAGAAAGAAGTGTACCTTCCTTCAAGGGCTGGGCCCACTCACCTGGATGAGCCAGGAATGACTGTGACATGAGTGTAGGTCTCACTCAGGGCCTGCCTTCTCCTAAGTGCTTCCTGCATCAGGTCATTGCTCACACTCCCATTTTAATGCAACACCCAGGAGGCATGAGCAGGTGGCAGTTTGTGCATCCTTTGCTGTACCCTAGTGGTAGCTTTTTATATGGGTATTTACCATTAAGGGTTCTTGGCACAGCATGTCACAAGTACTTCAGTCCAGCAGTTTTGGAATAGTCATCATGTCTGCTAAGAAAAAGTGACTTTGTACCATTCCTTGGGAAAGTAAATTATAAATGGGAAAGTTACCTGACTTTGAGAAGGAGTAGTGGTACAGACTGAAGTACAAGCAAACTCCACAAATTGCACAAAACAGACTCTAAAGAGGGAAAGTGGCAGGAGTGGCAGCCAACAGAGCTCAAAAAAATAAAAATAAAAAAAAAAGTAAATAAAAATCAACATTAAGTCAGCAATGCTTAAATAAACTGAGCTGCATATCAAGTATGCATCAGCTAAAACTTTTATATGGATTTAGAGTCCATGCTACAATTTTTAATTTTGTTCTAGGAGCCACCAAAAAGGACAACAAAAATTCCAGTCACTTGATAAACTCCCACCACCACAGCTGTTGCTCACCCATCTGTTAAGAAGGGTGTGACCAGCCAGCAACTCCTGCTGACTCAGGTCACAGGGGAGTAAAATGTTGGGTTCCAAGTACAGCAGCAATGACTATTCTTAGACCTCTCAGACCCCTTTGGGAGAGACAGTCCAAAGACTGTGCTGATGTTGAGCAAGTGAGGGAAAAAAAATCCAGTTATAAAATATGAAACTGTATAGGCAAGTGGCCAAGTTTCTGTAATTTTTCATTGGTTCAAACCCATTTAAGACATTTTCAACCTGACAGCAGAACTAAGAGAATGGTATGGAAGTCTGAACGAGAATAGGGTGTATTGCAAACCCGCCCAAAGGGAAAAATCAGAACTAAGTCCAAGTCTCTCACCACCTTCTCTTTACCCAGCTCTTCCTCAGAATGTTCCTAGATTAAAGCAGTTTGTCAAACACAACATTACTGCATTCATATTAACTAAGGGCCCTGCTATACCTTCAAAATAAAAGCTGGATAGAAACCAGTTAGAGAGTTGTTACACATTTGTCAAGCACTAAACTTTATAGCTAGATAGTCATTTTATCATGTGATGCGATAATTACTTGGCACCTGCAGCTAGTCTAAATTAGTTGCAAAATTGACCAGTTAATTGCATAATACATTAATGTACAACAGGGACCTAAGTTTACCACCAAATCATGAGCAAGATCCACCATGTAGGTTAGAACCATGTAGGTGGAGACAGGAGTACAACCTTACTCTCCAAATCAAGAGCTTAATATCCAGTTCATACCCCACTACAAATTACAGTAAGTGAGACTGCAGAGTGGCTATGAAAGCCAGTGTTCATCTACTCGGGGAGCTGAGCCACAAGTCAACACCTGGAAGGGGCCTACCACCAGTACTTGATCTCTCTAAGAACCCTATTTTTAAAATAACTTTCCTTTGACTTCCTCTGCTCTTTGGTGTTGGCATCAGCTAATCTTAAAAATACACACTGAAAGGACTTTAGGTTTCTCTCCTCTTAAAGGAAAAAGTATTAGTCTTTGCAGCTCAAAGTGTCAATTTAACAGATACATTATTTAGCATTCACAGCTTTTTAGCTGTGAACACAGAAGACAGATGCAATGGAGTGCTCATACTTTAAAATGAAATGAAGCATGAAGGTTCGTGAACTTTTACCTTAAATCAAGCGTTAATTTTGTGGTAGGTGAGGGCACAAAAATCTACTTAAAGTTTACCAAAAGTTTTTTTGCCTTAATTGGTGCCTTCTTCTAGAAACCCCTCTTAAAAAAAGAAAGCAAGAAAAAAAAGCCACAGATCAAACCTACACTGCATTCCACTTGAGAGCTACCACTTCCATCACCTTCATGCTGGAAGGTAAAACACACAAAACCTTTTAGATGTTTTAGAAGCCAGGTAGACAAAGCAAATCTGAATAGATTTAAGTTTCTTTATTAATCAGAGTAAACTTACATTATAATTTATCCAATATTTATATATGCATACTGCATCTACAATTAATTTTTAAATGAACAGACAGGTCTTTTCTGTGAGAAGTCACAGTTTTTTTTAGTAACACTTGAGGATTTTGCTTCTGAAAACCATCGAGGCAATACTGGCATTTAGAAACAAACATATTAGAGGAAGGCAGAGGGGTGCAGAGAAACTGGTCACTAGCACCAAGTTTGCTGCCACAGACTAAGTGGAGCAATATGTAGAGGAGACAGAACACCTTTACCAGTAGTGAATACTTCTGTAAGAACATCCCCCTCCAACCCAGAAATCCAAATTTAGACATTAACAATGCATTGTACAATGCACTTTCTATTTGGTTATCCAGTGAATTAACATAACTAGTCTGAAAGACCAATTTACATATTTCTTACCAGAAGGTTAGTAAGTTTGCTATATTTCTATCACCTCTTTTACTGTTCATAATTCTCTAAGAGAGCTAGTTTACAGCACTCCCATACTTATTCCAGAAGGCAAAAAAATGCCAAGTAAAAACAGACACCAACATCCACTGTCAATATTTTGCTAAAAGAACATTGTCCAACAAAGTTAAGACTGAATTCAGTTTTATATGCAGACCAACTTTTGCTTTACGTCATAACTAGACTTTCAGTATTTAGGGAACATGGCTACCCTTACTATATACGTCTTCTTCCTTACTCAAAATTGACAGTTAACGTGACAACCTGTTAAACTGTAACCCAGACTTAAAACCCAGAACAAAGTCATCTTTCAAACTTAAGTTTTTCTAAATGCATTGTGAAGTCACCATTTATTGTAGTGACTATTTAAGTGTCATATTACAGTATCAAAAGAAAACCAAGACATGCAGACAAGACTATTTCAGGAGATCTAGTTGAAGCAGAACATTTTAGAATCAGCTTTAAATGCAGTATTATTTCATAGTTGCTGTTTTAAGCAGCACATGAGAATTTTGTTAGAAGTATTTTGGAATTGAGTGTGTGTACAGAAAGTGAAAAGGGTAGCGTAGTTAAAGCAATATGCATATAGATCAAATCATTTAGAAAAAAAGAAAAAAGAAAAAGAGACCTGTGTTGTGCTCAAGAAAGTAGCTAACCTATGGCCATCTATAAAAAGCTGGCCAGGCCATTTGGGTAGGAATAGAAAGTCATGAACCACCTTTATAAAAAATAAGCTACTATCATGAGAACAAAACAATAGCAACACTTAAATCATAACATACTCCAGTGCTGAGGTATAAGCCACTTTGGAGGTAAACGCGACATATAACCAGGTATTGGGGAAAAACATGGATTCTACAAGCCAATGGTCCCAGAATGGAAATAAAATTTAGATTTCAGCATCTTGGTTACAATGTTTTATTTGTACATTGCAGACACTTCAAGAAACCCTGACATGCATTCATGTCACTGATATTTCAGCTTGACAACCACAGAATACAGGCAGCAAGAGCTTTTCTTTTTAAATGCAAGTTATTTTGCATTAATCTTTACTACAAAGATGTTTACCTCATCATTAATTCTTCTCTACAACACACCCAATTACCCTCCCACCCAATGGAAACATTGGAGTGTTTATATTCAAAGCAAGGAGAATAGGAGTTAGGACACTTAACTATTCTAACCAAAAGGCAGAAGCAAATCTCAGTAAGACATCTAACCTTCCATTGTCCCAGTATATTTTGGTAAAGAGTAATAAAAAGGTATTGGTCTTCGAGGTATGCTCTGCTCCCATGTATTCCACAGGAAACAAATAGAAATATATAGTATAATAGACACAACGCGTTTAAAAAAATTTATTCAGCTGGAATTGGAACGCCCTACATTCACAATATAATTTAGGATGCAACTGTTACATGAAGAGCAGATAAGAGACTTAAACAGTTACACACACCAGTCATTCCACATGCTCCTTCTTCCATCTACAAAATACTGTAATTCTTGCTTTTAATAAAAGACTTTAGTCCAACCTGCCTATTCTGCAGCCACCTTCCTGTTCGCAGGAGTTTACACAGTGACAACAATAACAATTAGGGACACTGTCCTATCCAGCATTTGGATCCTGGAAAGGAGTGAGCCTAGCTTAAAAAAACAGAAGTTTGAGGAGCTGAGCCTGAATTACTGTTCAGCAGTGGAAACCAAGCTGCACTCTGACAAAGCTGCATAGTAGCAGAGAAAGCGGGGGTGGGAGGCTGGACAGAAGGAAGGAAACAGTAAGAAGAACAGCCCTATTGAGAAAGAAACCCCTCAAGGACTAAAGAAACCAGACATCCAGCCTCTGTGAGGCCTGCAGGATTAAGTACCACATTAAAGGACCCACCCTCACCTTCTAGGCCAATTATGAACAGCTAAACAGGCAGCAGCCATAGGGAGCATCTTTATTTTGTGGGACAACTAGGCTTTTTCCCCTCAACCCCCCAAAAAGCTGGAGTATAAACAGTTTGGTTGGTTACATATGTACATGGATTTAACCTCCCTCCCACCACAATATCTTTATGGAGGGTAAGAAAGCTATAAAGCCACACTGACCACCTTTGCTCAAATATGATTATCAAATTTAGGGAAATACAGACATTGGTATGTTTAAGAATCTCCATATTTGTAAAAAAAAAAAAAAAAACAATCAAAAATCCATTAGTTATAAAATTGAATTTTGACTTGCCTAGCATTTTTCTAGATTTTTGCTGTTACTTCTCACTGATTAACACAGTAAATTAAGCCAAGGTTGAGACCAGTGAAATCCTACCAATCTATTTAAAATGAAATGAAAAACAACAACAAAAAAAATACTTAAAACCAAAACAAAAAAGGTTAGTTTTATATTACAATCCAAAATCCACAGCCCATGATGTTAACTGCATTCTTTCTATAGGAATGATGCTCTTTAAAACAGATGATTGCAAATATTTTACTGCTAGACACTGTTACACCGGATAGTGTTTGACTGGAACCTGTGGATGGTGAAGTCTTGAGGTTTGTCCAAGTTTCAATGTAAGGTGTCCAAGGTCCTCTCCCAGAACCACATTGAGGGGCAGGGGAGGGGGGAGGGAAAAAAACTGAGATCAAGTTCTTATGATTTTTTCAATCTTTCCTTGGCTTTCTGTTTCTGGGCGATCTATTCACAGTTTCTTCCTCCTGCAAGATTGAAGACAACATTTCTCAAAATGTCAGAAGTTTCTGGTCTTCTCTTCTGTATTTTCTGTTAAATTAGAAATTGCTAACTGTAACTATTGAGATCTTAATTGGAAAATAAACGAACTGAACAATCAGAGATGCTTGTATTGGATGAAAAAAAAAGATAAGATTTGATATACAAATCCACTTTTCAAGGTCTATATATAGAAGTTAGCGTTATAGACAAGAGCACTTAACAATAAGTGTTTTCCACCCTCCTGTCTATCAGTATAGTAGACATCATTGCAGAGAATGGTGGTGGTACAGATTATCAGGCCAATGCCAAGTGCTTTGAAAGTCTGTACTCCAAATCATACAGAAAGGCTTGACTATTCTTTCATCTCTAGAAAAGACCCTCTAAACCACCCTATTCTGCTAGTATTCTGCTGCACATTGATTACAGAATTCGATTCCAAGCAGTTGTCCTGAACTTTAGCTTGTTTATATATCAGTAGGAAAGTACCACATCCTGGGTTTAGTTTTTTTAAAATGACAGCTAGTTAAAGTACCGTCACCAGAGATGAGAGCTACAACTTAAAGAACAGTGGTGCTCACTGTGTTGTGGCCCTGTGGGCTAAATGAATAATGCATGGCCAGATCAGACCCTGCCCTGCCCTCCGTGGGGGGGGGGGGAAATCGGGCTCCAGGGATCCAATGCCACCCACCCTACAAACCTCCTCATGCCAGGATTGGGCTCTGTGCCACCCTACACACCTAAGCTAGCATACAGGGCCATGGCCTATAAGGCTCCCCAGGGATTGGTGGGGAACCCCACCAGCCAGATTTGGCCTATGGGGTAGGGGTTGAACACCACTAACTTACAGGATTCATTTGTATTTGAAGAGATCTCTCCAAGATGTTTTACCTCTGATGCAGGTTTTCTATCTTCTTCCTCCTCTTCCTCCTCCTCCTCTTCCTCCTGACTAGCATTTCCCACCTCAGTATCACTCTTTTGCTTTTCTTCTAAAGAGAAAAAAAGAAAAGCCTTTCTAGAAAATATTCACTCATTTTAAATGACTTGCCATTAATCCTACATTAACATCTGCCAACACATTTTACTTTCAAGATGAGAGAGAAAACCAGTACTGGATTTCCCAATGATTCCAGACAGGAATTTAATTTACCCAGCTTTTCTTCATTTGCTTCTTCTTCTTCTTCCTCCTCCTCCTCCTCCTTGTCCCCCTTGTCTTTTTCTTCCTCTCTCTCTTCCTCCTCATTCACATCAGGCTGAGGAGCATCAGTCTTTTTGTATTCTGCAGCACTGGGCTGTTTCTAAAAGCGGACAGAAAAAAGTCTCATGGTGAACCACTTTCCACAAGGGGAAAACATCTTGAACTAAACTTCTCTCTGAAGCCTAGAAAGAAAAGTACATACCTTTCCAGAACAGCAGAAAAGGACAACAAGAAACACAGGCAGAGCCACAGTTAGGATGTAGACTACCCAGAGCCAAGGACGTTCTTCAGCAGCTGCCATCATTTGGCCCACAACACCAGGCTACAAAATAAAAAAAGAAAAGAAATCCCAAACACTTGTATTTAGCTTTTACTTCCGTAGAGAAAAAAGAGTTACATGGCTATCCATGGAGGACTAGCAACCATAGATTCAGACATTCCAGTTAGGGACAGCTTCAGAAGATTGCCATCATTGATACTGGAAGTCTTTGTAAGCTTTCTGTGTAAACAGCCATTTTAAGAACGATGTTATTGTTCATAATTCAACTCTGTGGAAGAGTATTTGCATGCCTTAATCTAATCTAAAGAGTCTAATATATGAATGTTCATGAACTGGGAGGATGGCTAAAACCTACACTCATAGTTCCAATAGCATGAAAAGTTGTATTACGTGGAAACACCTTAAATCATTACATTCACAACAGAAGTCCATGATACTTAAGAAGTTTTGTTTGGATCAAGCTACACAATTTAAGATTGCCTAATTTTGAAACAACAGGTGACCTATAGTTATCTTTATTTCAAGAGCACTATTTATTTACAGAAATTTGTATTCGTTTCGAGATTATCTTATGAAAAAAGGCCATCAGCATGGTTTTGTAGGAAAGGAACTTAAGAAGCTGTAACTACTGAAAAAGGCTTCTAGGAGTCATTGCATCCATGATAAAAGTGATGGGCTTAATTAGCTATCACAGCTCTAATTAGGTTCATTTCACATGTATTCATTGGATATGTTCTTGTATCCAAAAAACCAGGATCTATCGAAATCCAGCCTGCAAAGCTGACAGAAGCTACTCTAAGCATATAGTTGGTATTCATTTATAAAAAAAGCTAAGCTTCTGCTCCTCACCTCAGCAGCACCATCAGCTGCCTTCTTCAGACCCCACCCATCACTGGCCCAATCATCAGCTACTGCTCGGTCATTACAGATAATAAAGTTGTCAAAGAAAATGTCAGATGTCATTGACCACAGCTCAAGTCCCACAGCACTGAAAGGAGTCATCTTGAATGGTTCCAAGTCTTCAAAGAAGTCTGGGTTTGGGATCTTCCTAGGTTTCCAGATCCCCTGGAAAAAAAATAGACAAAAGATTCAGTATCACACACCAAGACAAAAGTTTCCATCAAAAACAGCCCAATTTGGGTTGGAAGACTGGGAGGGCAAGGGGAGGTGGGAGGACCATAATTACTTTTTGTTCAATTTTATCTTATTCTCACAAAAGACACCCTCATGTACTTCTCCCGCTTCATATCCTGCCCCTCCCCTTTTTAAAGAAAGATTTTTATTTTAGAAGGGGTAAAAGCTGCAGTCCAGGATAATCCACTACAGTGAAAGGGCCTTCCCCAAGTGAAGCCAATTTAAAAAAGGCACAAGGACAAAAAAGTGACACTGGCAGTTCTAGCCACTTGTTTTGAGAGACACAAGTTCCAACATTCTGCATTTCTTAAACTAGTACATCTAAAAGTAAAAACGTTCCAACACTGGCCAGAAAGTTCTGCACAAGCTTCAGACCTACCTGGTAGTTCACGTTATCAATCATAGGAGGCTTCCATTTGCCTTTGTAGTTGGGATTATCAATCACAGGACGCTGCCAAGTACCACAACCAGGGGCTGACTCACATTTGGGGTTTGCAATCTGAGGTGCCTCCCACTCTCCATCCATATCCTCATCCCTGGGAATGAAAGCCTCAGTTTCAAAAAAAGTCTCTCAACAGAAAGAAAAAGGTCTGTTTCCTTCCAAAGGCCATATCCTTGCTGAATAAGTGGGGAGTGTGTATTTTAAAAAGTGTTGCTCAGATCCATGGATGGACCCAACATGGATCTAACAGTAGACAGAAAGACAGCCTTTAAGGAGCTTCCAATTTTGGGTGTAAGATCAGACAGTTGAAGGATAGTGCAGGAGAACAGCTCCGTGTTCCACTACTACTACTGCTTTGCACATCCTAAATTATGCTAGCCTGCAATAACCAGCTTCCCTATCAGTTTATTTAGCGCACAGTTACTTGCAAGCACAGTTATGCTCCTGACCCCCAATATCTTTGGGTTTTTAAACCTACTCGGTAACCTGAGCTACAGCAATTACCCATTATACAAAGACAGACAAATCAGAGTCTAGCCACAGTCAACATACCAGTCATCTGGTTTCTCTGCATCAGGGTCTGCTACATATTCTGGTTCATCATCCAGCCACCCCTCTGGCTTCACAGCATTTTCATCTGGAATTTTTGCAGGAGCATCTTCATCCCTTGAAGAAGACGGAAATTTTCTATTGTCTACTCTACGCCAAAAACATTTCACTTAAAAAGGAACTGATCAGAGCTCTTAACACACTAATGCTACAGATAACTAAACAGATTTCAGATCTAAGCAGTTTGATTCCCGTGGACTAGAACTGTCATGTTGTAACATGCCATACCACACTTGATCAAAGGAAGCACGCGCACAGCTAAGCAAGGGACTTGACCGAAAAAGATCAGTTACCACACTTGTTCAAGTAAGCCAGTTCAACTGTGACACCCCCTCCCCCAAACAGCCTGCATTCAATCTGCAAATCACCTGCCAGCCAGTACAGCTGAACAGGTCTGGAATGTTAGACTTGTACTCAAATCTCAACTGGCTACAGTGAGAGAAGGTAAAAAACAACCCCCTCACCACCCACACCCCACAAACAAAAACCCCCAACACACAAAACCACCACAGAACTATACCACACCAACTGCAGATTTAAAGCAGTCACTAGTTACTTGCACATTATCTGGCTACATTCATCTCCTCAGCTACTCACCAATCATCTGGTTTAACAGCATCTGGGTCTGGGATCTTTGGCCTTTCATCCCAGTCCTCTGGTTTCTCATCATTTGGGTCCTCAATCTCTCTGGCTGGGTTCACAGGAGGAGTCATGTCATTCAGCAAATTCCCACTGTTCACAACAGTTTGGTCAACCAAAATTTCGAAGCTATTATCAGGATTCAGCACTAGAAGAAAGGGGAACAAAATCTGTTGGAGCTTTTTACAATAAAAAAGGAGAAGGGGGAAAAAAAGGAGTCCAGAAGATGCCATTTCCCCCTTTCTACACCATCCTTCCCCAAACTTCAAACTTTAAAGACAATTATTGTGACTGAACCTACCTCTACAAGTAGTAATGCCAAGGGGAAATAAACCTAGGAACTAAACTCATCTTAAAATGTTTAGTTATGGAGAGTCCTACTCCACATGCCTACCTCATCTAAAAAGTGATCTGTTACATCAGAAAGAGAGTTGTGTTCTTCCCTATTACACTGCTTGTAAAAAAGGAACTTTTTTCCAGATACCAAAAGCCAAAATTTGATGCTTTAGACCTGTGTTGGCCAGCCTGCAGCATGAATTCTACAAGTGGCACAGACACTGTGTGGCACCCCACAGGTTAGAGTAGGGACAGGCAACATAGCAGCAGATAGGGCAGGAAGCAGGAGTTCAGACAGGTAGCACAGTTGGGAACAGAAAGCTGTGAAGTGGATCAGGCAAAGGAAGGGGAAGGGTACAGGGCTAATTTGTGGCACACCTGCCACAAAAGGTGGGCCTCCACTGTACTAGGCTATGCTATACTGCAGTATCCGATCCATTGAAAGGAAGTTTAGCTAACAGCCTTTACGTACTTACTATAAATCAATGTTCTGACCCACCTTTTCTAGTGGATTTTTCTCCACCTGATTTTACAATCTCTTAGAATCTTGAGTTTACAACAGTAGGCTAAAATGTACATAAAGACCAAATCAAAATTGAGCTGCTGGCAAAACAGGAGCAAACACATGCACACTATAGTTCATAGACATTAGGACTGGAAGGGACCTTATAAGATCATCGGGTCCAGCCCCCTGCCCAAGGGGCAGGAAGTCAGGTAGAAACACTTTTTTTTCTAGAGCGAGGTATCAAGCATACAGCCCATGGAGCTGCTGTGTCTGACCAGCTGGGCTACTGATGGGCCACAGGAAGTTGGGAAGTGCAGCTGGTGGGGGCCCTGTTGCAGAGTCCAGGTCCAGTGGACATAGTGGTTGGTGGCAGGAGGGTGAGCAATGGCTGATGACCCTAGGTCACCCTCCAGCCTCTTCACATATTGCCACTGCAACAGCCCGCAGCCACTGGCTCTGCTGCCTGCCTGCGACCGCGTGCTAGACATAGAACCAAAACTGTCACTGCTGTGTCCTCCATGCTGAAGCCAGAGCTGCAACCCCAGCATGAAAATGCAAGGAGCAGCAGCAGCTCCTGCTCCAGCACTGGACATGCAGCATGCAATAGGAGCTGGCGCTGCCACTGCATCTACCCCATGCCCTGAGTTGGATCTAGTCTGCAAGGAACCACATATTCTACATCTGGCCTGGGACAGGAAAATGAAAATTTAAGAGTGATCCAACATTTTTACAAACCCCCTCCCTACCCCTTATCAATTTTTAGAGCTTACTGTTAAAAGAGTAATACAGATATAGTGTTACTATATTTATTATTATTATTATAGCCCAAATAATCTACAAAGTAACTGAGCGCATGCTGTATTTAAATATAAATTTACCAATTCATGTTTCCTTTACCAAAGGTCAGAGTTTCATCAGCATGTGCTCTTTACTCCATGGTTTCTTGCACGGAAAGAGCCTCCAATGATCTGCTCCTTGCACCACCCTTCTCTCCAAAAGAGCTCCCCCTCCCCACTCCACTTGCCTTGATACCAACAAGCTTTACCAGTTCCTTACCAAGAGTGTAAAGATGGGTCTTCTTATCGGTAAAGTAGGTCTTCAGATCTGCATCGGGACGCTTTGCATGCTTCTCTTCATACTTTCCAGTTCTGGGGTTCTTGTGCCGGAAAATGAAGTGCAGTTTATAGTCTTCTCCACATTTATCAGGACCAAACATGATTGTATAGGGTGTTTTGTCATGAAATTGATCCTTTTAAATAAGGAGAAAAAAGAAATTTTAGTTGGAGTAACTTCAAAGTAATGGGTTAAAAGTTTAGCATGGGGTGCTGATAACTAAATTAAAGAAGTTGATGCTCTCTCAATTAAATCAGACAGTTTATTAGAATCACAGGCATTTTAAGTAGAAGAGTCAACCTAGTCCAGCTCCCTCTTGAGATATAACTGGTCCCCATGTTTTCACATTTTTATGCAGACATTTGTCCTGTCCAACCACTAGAAGCAGGCAAAATTAAAAATGAGACAAACACAGGGTCTAGTTTAGAGCACAGAACTTTTTCCTATTAGTTCACTTGAAGTCAGGAAGAGTAGCTGGCAATAGTGAAGTTAGAGGTGTGAAAGGTAAACACTTAATCCATTACCTGATAAGAGTAGTGATAACCAAGGATCCTGGTTCTTTGATTAAAAAATGAAAATTCCCCAATTAAAACACAAAAATCTATAATAAAAAAATTAAAGGCTCCCCACAGCCCTCCCCAGTGCTGCTGGTGCCCTGCACTCCCCCCATAGCCTCAACAGCCCTCCTGATGTCCCTCACAGCAGCTCCCCAGACCCACACAGAGAGGCAAACACAGACACTGACCCCCACCCCAGCAGGTAAGTGTGTATGCCCTTGTGCCCACTCCCAGGAGTGGGCCCAGGGGGCAAGGGCAGGGGTGCCACTCTGCCAGCCACACACATGCCAGCTGGCCCGAGAGGAGATCCACACATGAAGGCCACCACTGCACTCTGCCACTGCACCCTGCACTACCATCCCATGGCCACCTGCACGGCTTTGTGGGCAAGTGGCGCAGGGCACAGCAGTGCGGTGGCAACCACAGTGTGCGGGCCACATGTGCCACCCCGTGGGGGGGTGGAAAGGAGGGCTTACATGCAGCAGCTGCCACTGCACTGCTGCTTATGCCCTGTGACCAGCTGCATGGCTCTGCGGCAGTGCGGGGTGATGGCAGTTGTGTGTTGGGGGGGGGGGGGGGGG